TACAAATGCACAGGCTGGGCTTAATTTAGTGTGATGTATAACAGAGTAATAACTTAGCCACGGCCTGGTTCTCGCCCTCCCCGCTAAGAATAGGAAGTCTACTATGAGAAAGACATTACATTTTTAAATCCTATAAAACCTAATGCTTCCGCTGGCTAGTGTTTCAACACCACCCAAATCTCTTACTTAAGATGTTTGGAAACTGGAAAGATAATCGCAATGTAAATCAATAATTTCTCACAATTCACTTACATGGCCAGAAAAAATATGTAGGAGGGTTTCAAGAAAGACCTAGCAATTTGGATGCATACAATAGTGATGTTGACTCTTGGTCTAGGAAAAGCTCATTCAAAGGGAAGGAAAGGTGATTCCACAATAGTCACCTGGTGATCACACAAACTGTTAGATGCCCACCAACACAGAGGGAGAAACTTCTTAGAGCAAAGGAATGGTTAAATCTGTCCACATATAATAACCCAAAACACTCCAAAGAACCTTAAAGACCAAGATAAAACCTAAGAGTTATTCTTCTTATTTAGTTGGCCTAAAAATATAATCTGTGATTATTTTTACATTTGTTTTGTTTGTTAAAGGAATTCATTATTAAGGTAACAACTTAAAATCCCATTACTTATATCAACAGTAAAAAATTTATTTCACCATCTGAGAATTTTTCACTTTTAAATCCTCCATAAAATATGCATGGAATGACAGATTATACAAAATAAAACTATTGAATTTAAAATTCTTTTAATCTCAATTTTCTTCAAGTTCTACCTGCTTTTAAACTTCCACATGTAAAACCATTACATATTATTGGCCAGTAATGCATCTCACCTGATAAAGCTATATTTAATGGAAGGTATGGATGAAAAAGTAATCTCTAATAAAAATTGATGCTGGCTCATTGAAAAAAATATTATGGATGATTTTAAGATGAATTCTCAATATGTTATATATATTTATATATATTACACACACACACATATATATATTTATACTTATATAAAACCTCAGTGTGTGTTTGGTCACTGACAGATCAGAAAGCAAAATATGGAGATGATAGATAATAACACTACCTCAGTTTCTGCAGAATAAACAGGAGGTTGCAAAACTACACTAAAAGCTATACTTCAAATGCTTACAAATGCCCAGGATCTTAAAAAACTTCTATTAGGAACTTTGTTTTCCTCTCCAAATGCCACACTCAGAGATCACTGTGATTTTAGTGCTGAATTAAATAATTTAAGAAATCAAGTAACATAATCTAAGTAACAAAAATGATGATTGCATTTGCTGCTTACAAAAATGGGTGCTGCCTTGCATGGGTAAATGCCTATCTTGTAAGCACTGCTCTTCTGGCAACTGATTCAAATGGGATGGCTTGTAAAACCTTTTACCTATTTACCAGGTGAATTTGACCAAGCCCAGGCATGTGTGACAGCACATCCTTTTGAAGAGGAATTTCAGGTACTATATACCTTTCCTAATTTCATTAGTAATTAATTTGGACTGTAATCCTCTGAGATACTTACACCTACTTTAACACTATTAATGTGGACTAAGGCTTAAATGACTTTAGAATACCTTTACACCTCTTCTGTAGCTTCACTGGAACACTCAAGTGTTAAGTAAGGGCTTTTAAACTAAGAAAGATATGGATCCCATAAACCTTGAAATGAAATGTAATTATATCTAGATTTGGCAAAATTCCAGAAGTGGCTTCCTCGTTGGATCCTAAATGGCTTTAAAAAAATGCTATTTTGGAAAATTCATGTTTTCCTTACAGAGATTAAAAGTTAAAAGAGTGAGAATCATAATATTACCATAACAATGCAAAGGGACAAAAGAAAAAACTAGTACTTCATTGGTTGTTGATAGATGTTTAAAGTGAGTGATGATATTTTAAATAAAAGTAACTCGAAGTTCATAGTACATTAGCAAACAATGTGAGAAAGGAAAAGGGAAAGGGTTAGTATGCTTTTGTAAAACAGTGACTTGCTATTTCAAAATTAAAACGTAAAAATAAGCTTGTGTCAGAGAGGAGGTGATTCCTCATTTCCACCGCATTGAGCAAGCTCGCATCAGCAGCAGACAGCCCTTAATATATGCGTCTGGCTCAGGCTGGTTTCCCAACCAGGAAGCCATCGAATTGTTAATATCACTGAGTTTTTTGTATGCAACACACATCATTTCCTCGCTCTTTGTTGTAGATCTCTCCTTTTATTTTAAGCTTAGTATGATCTGATTTTCCAAATCATATTATAGAAGCCCCAAACAATATTATTCTGTGACAGCTACGATAGAAATGCAGAAAAAGTGCCATCCATCTATCTAGATACAGCACAAAGAAATTTCTATAAACAAAGTCACCCACTTACAGCTTTACTCACCTTTATGGAGTCAGAGAAAAGCTTTATTCATGTTGCTCTCAGAAAAAGAGTTCGTATATAGGAAAGTCACACAGAGAGGGTTCAAAGAATGCACTGTGATTAGTAAAAAATACATATTTTTATATGGTTATGGGGAAAGTAAACATCATTTCATTCTAAATTCAGTTTTGGTATCTTGCCTTTATGAAATTGCAGTTAATATATAGTGCTGTTCATTAACATGGTAACACAAAAAGAAACTGTTGCATTTGGAAAAGCTTAGATCTCATGTCACCACAGCCAGTGAATATTTACCTTTTATATTATTTTGGAACTAAACTGAGGTAACATCTTATACATACTATTCATGATTATGTTAAACAGGTGTCTATAAAAACATACCTGTATGTGATATCATTTTATATGAGGTAGTTTCTGATCCATTGTATAAACATTGATATTAAATATAATCAAGTTTTGTGTATTTGTAGATACATATGCATAGAATCTTTTGTAGATACATATAGAGTTCTTTGTACTGAAAAACTTATATTTTTAAAAATGTTTAATTACAATGAGAATGAAGTTAAAAGGAGTAAAAGATAAACGCTACCAAAATCTTCATTGTTTATATTATTTCCTTTCATTTAGAGTTTTGAAACATATGTTTATACACACATGCACACACTTAAAATTGCAGAGATTCTAGAGAAATGAAATAGGTGATACAAATAAATAACCCTAATAGGTACAGTGTGAGTACATGCTTAAACATATTCTATGTGCCCTGTATGGATGAGGAGTATGTTTACCATATTGCAATTTCAATTTTTAAAGAAATATAACTCATGGGTAATTTGTATTCTGTGATATTTCAAACCATAAGTAACTGTAACAAATTCAATAAAAAGATGAACAAAGACTTCATACAGTGTTCTAAAATGCATTCATAAATTTACTTTAACAATGCAGAAGACAAATTTATAGTACTCATGTAAAGCATTAGAGTTAAAAGAATGAAATTGCTTTCTTTCTTCTGTAATGGAAAGTCTGTCATCTTTATTTTGAATCTTAATAACTGCAACATTTTGGTAAAATTTTTAAATAGATGTAATACATTAATTCTACTTCCAAAAAATACATATTTGATGTGGTCATGGTTAATAATGCTCAAACATGGCACATTAGTTATAGTTGGAATGGTTACCTCTTATAAAACTAAAATTCTTATAAAACTAAAACTGCATTTCAGATTCAGCTGATAGAGGAACTGGAGCAATCTGACTTTATAGGTGCTATTTCTGGTTTATCTCACATAGGTCCATAGTATGTTCAAACTAAGATATAAAAACTAAAAGCTACCATATTTTGGCTAATTATTGTTATGAGTTCTCAATCAAACTCATAACAAAAGAATGTCCTAATATAATAAGATATATAAGGTATTTTGTCTGGTTTAAAAAAAAACTAAGGGAAACTCTGGCAATAAAAACCAAATATAAAGAAGCATTCTTTTAAAATCAGCAGTAAAATCTAATAGGGTCAGTAAAGAGGATTGTAAATCATTTTATTTCTAGGCCTCAAGCATGATTATAGCTATATATTGCAAATTCTGAGCCATAGTTACATGGAGACATAGGATTTATATCAGTAGCTAATGTACATATTCTATGCATATGAAAAAGTTATAAAAATATAAGCCACTTTCTTCATTAGTAAATAAGGAAATATTCTCTTAGACCAGCCACCTTAAATACACCAAAAGAAGCATTTTAAAAACACTTGTATTTTAATATTGCTTCTTACACAGATATATTGCTTTTATATGGTCATTATAATATTATATAAATGCGATTCAGTGAAACTCTGTAATCACTTTAGGGTACAGTTTCTGAAAATAGTATTTTTGGGGGTGGGTCCTGGTGAAAACATTGCTGATTATAAAGAAGAGCATTGTTCTTTTTCTCCTAGGCAGAATCTATGCATGTTCTTTTGTTCTGGTGGTAACTGCAGACAATCAGTAAGGTCCAAAGCTGCTGGTTCCCCTCCGCCTAGGTCCCAAGAGCCTGACTTGTGATGTTACTAAAATACCTCACAAGTTAGGGTCTCAGGGACTAGGAAAAGTCTGGTTTGATGCGGTAGAATTCTTCTTCTTTAGTTATAAGGCTAGCTTACAAATTACAGATGGGTTCCGTTAAACTTTTCCCTCTAAATACTGATTAAAATATATACGTAGAAATAGTTGTATATGTATATATATGATATATAAAAGTTAGGATGAGCTGAATATTCACGACAGTAACCAATTACAAACCTTAAAATAATGAGGAATATGAGAAACAATACAAACAATGAACAGTTAAGAGTCATTCCATTAGATCCAAAGAAAAACTACAAATGGGTTAAAATCTGTTTCTAGCAGATTTGTACAGCAACACCATAGCTCTATTACATTAAAAAAGGATTATATCCCAGTAATGGGACCCTGATTGAAATTTTGCTTCCCATTAGACTTCTATACAGCACATCTGTTAAGGTGGGCCCAGGACACATAATACTTTAAATCTGATTTCAATATATACTGTTGCAGTTAAGAATAAAACAAAAACTTTTTTTGCATGTCACAATTTAATACCTCTGAAGCTTGAGTTTTCTCTTTGAGTCTCCAAACTATTCAGACAGCGAATATTTCCATGCATACTCTGTAGCTATATGAGCAATGCCACTTAATAAACATGTAACTTAAAATGCTAGCAACATAAAAAAAAAGGATCCTATTTCTTATATAGTTGCATTCGAAAGCTCAGTACTTTTGAAAAATGCACAATCCCAATCCTGTACATTCACTGAATTTCCTCCGATCTTTTAGCCTTGTTTGTGGTTGGAGAACAGAATTTGTACTTTAGGAATGATCCAAGGTTTAGTAGCATAGAACGCAGGGTAAAACAATCGGACCAGCCATAACATAAAAGTCCTGGCCACAGAAGTGGAATCTGGTTCTTCTGAAGTGGTTGATCTTAAAAGGGAAAAGAGGAGGGGAAAAAAAACATGGAAAGAATTAGAATGTTTTCCTGTAGAACAGGTGAATCATCCATTTCCAAGTAAGCTGCAAGGAAAGCTATGCTGAACAAAATATTTGCTAACTGCCCCCCTCCTCCACCCTAGTACCACACCCCTTTCCAACCACCCCCCCACCCCCTGTCCAGATCTTTACTTTGCCTTGTAAGACTTTAAATATTCTGCTCCATGATGCAATGCATCATTATATAAGATCTCTTTCTGTTTATCATTTGATTTTTCCATACTGAATCAGTTATGGCTTAAAATAGTAAATAGTTTTTTTTTTTAATCAAACAAAAAAAGCAGCACTCACAAAAAGCAAAAAATAACAGTTCTTAATTCTAAGTCCATGCTTTTCCTTAAAACTGAATATGGCTTTACAATTTTTGACCATAGCATTCAACCAATTATTAGAATGAAAAATCTCACCCCTCCATAAATATGACATTAACATAATTATACCACCCCCATCACGGAGACCCATCCTCCTTAGGGAATACATCTGATGCTCCAAAGATGGAAATCAGTCAGATTTTAGTTGCTCTCCAACGTACCTTTGCTTCTCACTGACTGACTGGCTTTTACCCTCCACGCACTCACACGCCACCCCCTCCCCTCGGCTAGACACGGGTGCCCGAGCGAGCAGGCGCGCGCACAGGCATACAGACACCCAGCGAGAGGCGAGGCAAAGCATCTGATGCTGACTCAGAGCGCTCTGTGTGCAGGGGGTGGCAGCGGCTGGTATTTTCACTGCACTCATCATTAACATTAACTCACAGTCTAGCATCCACCCTCTCCCAGACCTGCGGGACTGCAGCATTTGCATGACGCTGTCACTCTAGCCTCTGCATGTCAGATGATGGAAGGGAAAAAAAAAAAAAAAGGAAAGAAAGAACTGAAAGAAAGCAAAGGAGTGAAAAGAAAAAGCCTCAAGGCTTTCATCAGAAATGCCTTCATTTCTCCCACAGTCTCATTTTTCCACCTTTCTACTTCCTCTGCGGCTATGTCTCAGTTGTTTGACATCTTTCCGGAAGAAAATATCTTGTGCTTCCACGAGCCAGTAGCCAGTTGGTCCTCCTCCCCTCACCTCACACTCTGATCCCCACCCCTTTTCCCCTAATCAATAAGACAGAGCTCCAAATGCAGCTGTGGAAACAGGCTCCGACCCAGTCTCATCCTGGATTCACTATCCCAGGGAGCAGGCAGCCAGACTCACACACGAGAGAAAGAGAAATAACGCCAGCAATTCTTTAACAGTCCTAGACTTTATTCTATGCCTTCTTCCTCCCTCCCTCCATCCCCCCTGCTGTCGAAAGGGCAAAAGGGGTCTTTTCACTTCTGTATGAAACCCCCAAACTCCCCAAGAGACACCAGAGTGATACTGATCTCTATACATTCGTCGTTTCTTTTTACTAATGAAAGAAACTATGATTTTAATAAAAATAACTGCTTAATATTTTTATTAGCCATGTTCTCATTTCACAAGAATTATAAGCTCTGCCAGCATCTGAATCATCAATATGATTTAAACCGTGTTGAAATCTTAAGTTCCTGGAATGAAATCAACCAACAGGATAGTAGTGCATTTATTATTATTTTTTTTATTTAAGCATTTTAAAAAATACATCAAACAGCCGTGTTGTTGAATATGTAAAAATCTTTGAGATTAAGAAATATTTGCAGGCTACAAATATTAAAGACTGAATAGATGTTTACATAAAATGTGGATTTGTGTGCATATGTAAAAATAATCCATATGCATTGTTATAAAAGGAAGTAAAATATTTGACTGAACATAGTTATGTTTGTGTTCGGTGTTTCACAACACAAAAGGCAGCGTATAGGTATCCATCCGGTTCCTTTGTTCTTCAATTTTTCCCTGTAATGACAGAATGTAGTAAACTGCCCACCTGTCCCTTCTACATGAGCAATATTCCTGAATTACTTATGAGACAGAGTTAGCCACCGGTGACTCTGTGGCATACAAGAAATACATACAAAAGAGAAGAACAGCAATCCTCCAGCCAACTCGAATGCTGCCTGGTGCTGTTGAAATTTCAGTTTACTCACACAGACAGATCCCAGCATGCACTGCAGCACTGCAGGACCAACTAAGGTAGCAGCTTGGCAACAGATCTGTGGCAACCGACGTGAAGGACAGCCATTCGCAGAGGCCCGAAAGAAAAGATCACACAGTCCATAAAGAGAAAGAAGCATCTGCAGGCGAACATGTATGTCTACAGTAAGCTCCTACAGGCTTCTGATTTGAAAGGAAAAGGAAGAGAAAAAAAGAAAGAAAAACTCAAGTGCAAAACCCGGAAATGCAAAGAAAAAAGAAGTGGGCACCTGAAGGAAACATAAAATTTGGTAGATGATTTCATGAAAGAGAAAGCAGGAAGAAAGACATATGAGAAAAAGAAAAGGAAATGCAGAAATGGGAAGAGGGAGAGGAATGAAGAAGGGGAAATAAAAATCAGAGTAAAGAGAAAAAATCACTGAGCACTGAAGCAACAAATAAAATCTGAAATTAAAGTGCAGAAACCGGAGACTCAGGAATAGTGTTCAAGTTGAGAATTTAATGAAAAGTTATAACAGAAATTAATGCATACACAGCATAGCTTTAAATACATATTATCTGTAGCAGTGAGATGCCTGCTGACTTCCTTTTCTACTTCCAAGTCTACCTGTCATCTCTTAAAGTCTCTTTGCTCAGGGATTCATCTCTTGTTTTGTTTTCAGCTTTCCAGCACCTGTGTCATTTATGCTATTTTTTTCTAGACAGTTGCCCACAATTCTCTGGATAAATTAATGTCATGACCTCACTATGGCTATCAGACATAGAATGTCGACTATTTTAATAATTGAACATGCGCTTACAACAAACTGCCTACTGATATCTCAGCTCTGTAGACTTTCTGCATAATCAATATTATTTGAAAGAAGATGTTGTAATCAATCAGTTCAATTACCACTGTCACAGATATGAGTTTAAGGCCTCTTCTGATTCTAAACTTCTAATCATCAATATTAAAACATCCCTAAATAAGATTCTGATTATGGTTAAAATATTTACAAAGTAAACATTTTTCTCTGTTTTATACTTAATTTAAGCAATGCAACATGTGTATGGTCTTGGTAAATCAATTTTTTTATATTAGGTGAATTTTGTTCTGTTAACTTAAAAAAATAACTAAGGTGTATCTGGATGTGTATTAAATGATATATTGAGCTAAAGGAAGCAATAACTACTCTGAAATACTGTAATACAACCTGCCTTCTATCTTATTACTAAGGCTATTCGTTATGGACTATTTGAAATCAATTTTATTATGGGAATCATGGTTTAAAAGAGTGGTTGAGGGTGAGGGAGAAGGAGGACAAAAAATGATCCACAGTCCAAACTTTGACTCAAAATTTATGGATGTGCAGAACATATTGTTTGTATTACTTGCATAATATCTTCTTTGCTTTACTTAAAATACACTCTCCAATAAGTTAGAGCAAACCACATGTAGCTATTAAAATTTAAAAAATGTTATAGACACATGCAACAGTATGGTGATTATCAGAGGGAAAGGGGGTGTGGGGAGGTAAGAGAAGATAAAGGGGGTATTAATAATGATGGGAGGAGACTTGACTCGGGGCAGTGAACAAACAAGACAATATACAGTTAATGTTACCTATATAATTTTATCAACCAATGTCACCCCAATAAATTCAATAAAAGTAGAAACATCTTCATTCATTCATAAAATAATAGTTGGTTTCTCTGTTGCTCTAACCCTATTTCAAATATATAATAGGACACATGGCTGGTGGTTACCATTTTGGACAATGCAGCTATAAAACATTTCCAATCTTGTATAAAGTTTACTGGACAGTGCTGACTCAAACTGTCTTTCTGAAAAGTTTATAGCATAATTGATCGTTGGAGTCCCAAAACTTTCATTCCAGTCTATTTTAAGAGAATGAATCTACATTGATTTATTTGAAGATCTAAAATGAGAGATTCCATTTGACTGAAGAGAATGTAGTGGTTTTATTTACTAGTTTTGACATAACCGAGACTATTTAAGGGGATGTGTTATACAGTAATTTACTTTAAGGTAGTTTTTAAAAAGCATGGGAAGACACACACACACACACACACACACACACACACACACACACACACACACACAAAATACTCAATCTAAAGTTTGGATAAATCTCAGAGATTTTATTTATTTACTATTAGAGAGAGGGGAAGGGAGGGAGAAAGAGTCGAGAAACAGCAATGTGCAAGAGATACACTGATGGGTTGCCTCTTGAACACCCCCAACTGGGGACCTGGTGCTCAACCTGGGCATGTGTCCTGACTGGCAATCAAACCAGCCACTTTTAGGTACACAGGCTAGCACTCAACCCACTGAGCCACACCAGCCAGGGCTGAGAGATTCTTTACGTGTCTATCCTTTCCAGAAGTGACAGTCATGATCTTTTTTGGTGTCAAACAACATAGATCACATGTTTCTGTTTTCAATAAAGGGATGTAATAGTAGTCTAAGTAGCAAAAAGTGATAGAAAGAGCACTTTTCAAAAATCTTATCAATACAAGGAAGGAATAGCAGTTAAGATTGGCCACAACTATGGTTAGATTTTTTTTCTTTTTTTAAATAATAATTAAAGTACAGGGGAGACAAAAATCAGATATTGATGAACTAGGAAGATCTGTTGGGAATTTTCTATTAAATAAAACACTGAGAAAAAACAGGTGTGTGTGTGTGTGTGTGTGTGTAGACTTTGTTAAGATAATTTTGACTTACCAATCAGATTCTGGAACTAATTACCTTAAACAAAATGAAAACAAACTAAAATATATATATATAAGTTATTGCCTCAAAATTTCTACAGAGAAATATGCAACTGGTTTTTAATGAGGAAAAATATCTCACCCATATTTTGTTTTAGAATTTT